AAGTCGTTCTACTTTTATCAGCTCCGAAAACTCTCCATCCGAAAACGTTCTTTCTGCAGAAACTTTCATCGAAGTAAGTCTCGAAGGTGATATTGGGTAGCCCGGCAAAACAGTCGATTTTTCATTGTTATCTAAAAATCATTGTATGAATGAAATGGAAGAGTTATGGAAAATATTCAAAAAATAATTAATAAAAACAGATTGAAAGATAACGAGAAACTGATTACCATTCCCATTTTGCAACTTAATCAGTTGTGCAATATCTTTTTCCGTTTCCGTAATGTAACGTACATGAGCGTTGATTTGTGCCCTCAATGAGTTTTCCTCACTGAAAATTGTCATTGCAATGGGAAAAAAAAAGAAAAAAAATGTTGCCTCACCTAATGTCCTTGAATCTTGATGAATTAACATGAAAAACAGGAAAAACAATGCAAAGATGAAATATATAGTAATGTAAAGGAAAAATACATTACTGTATTTATCTCTTTCTGCAACTGATATTATCTTTTCTCTCATAATACATAAGTACGTGCCTCTGATCATTGCGCATCACTCTCTCATCAAATGTCCTCTTCAGGAAATCTGCTTCTTTTCTTTTCCATTTTAACTCTTCACGCAACTGTTGCAAGTTCTTGTTATAACTCGCAGGATTTCGTACTAAAACATTAACATTTCAAATGGATGGAATTATTAATAGCATTAAGTACCAAAGATTGTTGACGCGACCTACCTTTCACTTCGTGGATATTTCGAACAACTCGAAGAGGATTTGAAAATAAAGCCTGAGTATTGTCAATGTTGGCAGCACGATCCCCGTCAATTTTAAAGCCTTGAAAAAAATATATAAATAGATTATTTAATGAGATAAATAAAAAATTGAGAGAATAAGTGGGGAAAAAATAACTTCAAATCATTCGTAATATTACTCAATTCGAATTCGTAGCAGTATTGACGTAAACCCATAAAATTGCTAAATCATTCGGATGTTGAACAACGTTAACAATTGACTTAAATTCACAGTCAACACATTCAAATGATTACAAAAAGATTCGTAGTAGTGATTCGTTTTCGAATTTCTTCAGTTACGGCTTATTTGCTATATGCTATGAATTTATAGCATACAGTAATGAAACATAATACTGAGCATAATACCCAAAATTATAATATTCTTGATCAATAAATCATATAAAAACCAATACTGCATGCCAACATTGGTAGCAATGTGAATGCTTTCAGTAAAATAAATTATTCGAATGTCCTAAGAAAATATCAAATAAAACGAAAGAATTAACCCCGTGAACGCGTTCTTAATTTCAATTCCCATCTCTCTAACTCATTCGCCAAATTATTTTTTTCGAAATTCTTCGTAAAAAGAAGCACTTTCTCCGAATATCGGCGGAATTTTTCGAAATTCGAATCCTTTTTCCTACCTCTATAAAGAATTTATTTCTAGTCAATTTGCAAACTGTTAATGTAGGGCTCTATTACGGTTACTCCTTCTCTAAGCATCATATCTGTAAGGATAAGCACAACCTATATTATGCCTCCGATGACATCTTATTCGGTTTCATTATGTTAGTAGTTCGGTAGAAAAAGTAGTAAACGTAAAGATACAGTTCAGATCTAGATTAGGACATACCTCAATAATGTCAAATGTTTCTGTAAATCAAGATTGAGTAGCTGTATTCGAGCCGTCTCATGCAAATGATAATCCACCAAATTCTTCTGCAAAATGCAAACAAAATAATTAGTTCTATAAGAGAAAAAATCATTTTTTTCTTACCAAGGGCATCGCACCGTGAACCGAATCGATGTATTTTCGTTTCAGCAGCAAACATGCCGCTTTTATTCTTTCTTCTTCACTCGCCAATTTCCACAAATCTTCAACCTTTCGCTGAGAATACAGTCTGTAAATTGATTAAGAATCACTGACATAGAAATATAATAAATAAAATGATAAAACTTTCCGTGCATACCTTTTGATATAAGAATGCTCATTTTGTGTACACTCTCACGTACGACCGTAAATAATTATGAAAAATATTAATAATAAAGTAGATATGTCAAGTGAAGAAAAAAAAACTGATACTTACTTACGAAGCTCAACAAAATACAATACACTATCACTGTAGAATTGTCGAAGAGCCTTCACAGTGTTACTTACATAATGCTCACGCTTCAATAATTCCTGGGATGAGTATGTCGGTGAACTATTGACTTCATCATTCCGATTAACGTCTAAAAATACTTAAATAAAAGGAAAAACTATAGCCGAAATAACATTATTCAAACGAATCTGGCCTCATTCTGGACTAGTGGTTCCCAACCAGTGATCCACGAGAATTAAAATGTGGTCACGAGGGATATTAGAAATTATGTTCCTTCTTTTTTTATGTAATGTTATTCTAAGTTTAACTTATACGTTAAAAGTTTTAACTAAGGCTTGTTTTCAAGTTAATAGAATTTATTTTTAAACCTTGTGGTCACTTTTTCAATAAAAACCCAAAGTGGTCCCTGGTCAAGAAAAGGTTAGGTTAAAAAAAAAAAGACTTCCGACAAATAAATGCAAAGTGTAAACCAGAATCGAGAAATTTGTTATGGTGATGCAGAAGCAAACAATAAACAAATTTCGAAAATCTCGTAAAATGAGTCCTATTTCATATTATAACTGATACTTCTCATTATAGATTAGAAAGTAACACGTTAGACTTTTTTAACATGTCAAAATATAACTGTACCATTCAGAATAGAGTCTGTCGGCGATGATTCACTGATCAGTTCCATATCAGAATTCTCTGCTTGTTGTACAGTCTAAAATGAGTGGGTTATTATCCTAAAATTTTAGTAGGAGAGTAGATTGAGTAATATACCGTTTTTGGTGTAACTTCAGTTTCAGCACTTCGTACTTCATTTTTCCCATCATCCTCATCATCATTACCATTAGTATCCTGGGATGAATCAGTTTTTGAGAACGACGATACGGGTAAATCGACTGCATCATCATTTCGTTCCTTCAGCAAATACTGAGACGACTTATACATCTGCAAACAAACAGAAATTCCAACAAAAACAAAAAGATGCGACATGACACAACAACGTCACAATAGAAACGAGCAAAATTTCTGAATACGACCAATACGAAAGAAAATAACCGAAAAATTAGAAGCCAGAAAAAAGCCAAAGAGAAGAAGCATGCATATTTTGAAACTCATATGGAATTTACGCTCCACAAACACAGTGGTCTGGAAATATGTAGTGCCTGAGTAGTGCGGTTAAAAGTAGTACGATTAGGCTTTTTTTTTTTTGCTAATTTTCAAATCAAAATTTTCAAAACTTTTTCTTAATCTTTCAATCAAAATTTAGTAACATTCTAGGTTCAGATAACTCTTCAAGAGAAAGTTATATTTCATAATAAGTGCAAAGCTACAAATACATACAACTACGTTGTAAGTGCATGAAATTACATTGCATGTGCGCTTACATAATCCATATTTACAAGTTACTAATCAAATTATAAACAAAAAGTACACGGTACAACTGTGATATACGCTCAACTTTAACACAAAAAGATACATTATTGGAAAGTGAATTATGCTGAAGCGCCTTATTCATGCGCTGTTGTACGGTTGAATAAAAGCTGCTCTGCTGACCAAAACATCTTTCGTTTGATGGTGAATTCTGAAAATGTACACCTAATTTAAACCCAACCAATTCTAAAAAATTACAAATATTTGATTAAGAAGGAACGTACGAAAGAACTGTAAGTTCCTTCCCCTTGCAAATTTTCATACAAAGTCTTCGAACAAGGAAACAATAATTAGAAGAAACACAATAATTTCTTGATCAAATAAATATAATATTCACATGTATAATCAACAAGATCAAACAAATACTTTATTTGAATATATTTTCTTCTTTTGAATCCACCGTGGCTCATTTTTTGATGAAAAAAATTTCACTCATAATGTTAATAAATGATTTTGTTCATTATTCTTTAGGCCTTAATTTTTAAATTTTGACTACTTATATTTATAGTGCATTCCAATCGGTTGCTTTCAGTCCGTATGTTTTGCTCGCTGTTATTTTTTGGAGAAATCGCAAATATCAAAATTTGCGATCTGCGACGTTTTTCGTTGTAAAAAAAATATTTGTGCTAACAAAACAAGTGTGGGAAAACAAGAAAAAGCTGCAAAACGTTTTAGCTGTCACCGAAAGCCCGTTAAAGACAACAAATGCATGAATATGCCAGATTATAGATATAACCTCGCCAAAACATTGTGCACCAATATTTTGATGTTTTCACTAATAAATTTTACACGAACGTTTGTTGGAAGCTTGATGAGGTAAAGCATGTGAACTAATTACCTTAAAAGGAAAAAGGATAGCATAGATCTTTCTCCCATATAAAAGCAGACAACAATTACATGTTGTAAAAAAAAGCAAAACAAAAACTTATCGCAAGCGAAAGTGAAATAAATAAACGAAGTATGTGTGATTCATGTGGAGTGGCGTAACACGTACCCTTCCATCATCGACTTCACGTCCGCATAATAAAAGTTGGCTATTAAAAGCACCTCGAACATCCCGAAGATGTTGGTTCATTTCAGTAACATGTTTTCCATAAGTAATGCTAGCTTCCAGCCGAGAGCCCAATGTTTCCCCGTGTGTTACACCTTTGGCATCCTGCTGTAAATAGCTACCAATAGATGTAAAGGAGTTTTCGAGAAAAAAAAAACTAGAAAAAACATATACACACATTGTAAATGAGGATGAATAATAAGGTTAACATAGCGAACCTTAGGAAAGATATGATCGTTGTAAGGATGCTTTTCCAAAATATATTCTTTGGACGAGGGGTCGTCAATCATTTTATCGCATTCGAATTGTGAAGAAATCGACAGTCGATTTGAAAATGATGCTTGCAAAAAGCGTGCTGCCCTGTAACCAAATTATTGGAAAAAAATCTATGGACATGAATAATATCCCGAATAATTCTTAGTCCTCAACAGCTCTCATTTGCTGCGGAAATAATGAAGAAGCATTCCAATGTCTTGGAGCGTATACCACAAAATAGTGAATGTGATATGAATTCTTGATATAAGAAAATAAACTGTACATTTTTTCTCATCAGGCGATAGTGAACAGTGTTGATGTTGATAGATCAAAACCAATTGGTTTAGTCAATTAATAAAAATAAAAAATTGGTGGTGAAATTTCATGCAGAAAAAAAAGGGAAACGTCACAAAAATATTACTCATCGATATCGTTCTCCAAGTTATTCAGAGTGCTAAACGATTGCTTAATTTTAACATTGATTTCGTCACAAGAACTGCTAGGCCCACACTCATCGATATTCGAATTTATATGTTGCGATATCTTAAAGAATAGCATTTTCAAGTAAGCCCATTACTTAGTTCGCATGACTCTCTCATCTTATCCAAAAAACTAAATTGTAATGTTTTCATATTTAGTAGGAAGTTTGTAAAATGACAAACTTACCATATTGCTTTTTGCTGACCAATCGGAAGTATCACTGGCTGAAAGACAAGCTTTATATCACAGTTGTGCTTAAGAAATTCTTTTTTCTTTTACTATCCTATAACTGTGCAAACTTTCCCACAATCGAACATTCAAAAAAGTATTTTTTTTTTTTAAAATTTCAATAACTCACATTTTACTATCGGAATTTGAGACTGTACAACTCTGCCTTTCTCAATTTCATCCACTTTATTGCTGGTACGCAATACTGTAGACCGCAACAAATGTGGATTCTTTTTACTATCCCGTAGAAACCCATTTACGTCAACTATAGTTTTTGTTACTTGAGGTCTAAAAGATAAAATGTAAACCACCATGACAGAGATTAAAAACATCAGTGGTATGGAATACTTAACTTGATTTTCACCTAACTTGTAATGTTTAACTTACTAGTAATAATGCTGGGCAAATGCCATTAGAAATTGACTGAATTAAGTATGCTACAACAAATTATTTAATCAGTGATATCAATGAAAACAAACATCACCGCGGTTTGTGTATTTATGATTAGTGATTATATTTCGTGTTAAAACACCAAAAGTTTGTGTGCCTCATTCATAAAATGAACATCGAAAGAGGATGTAAGCATTCAAAATATGAAAACAACTACTCTTCTGCAGATGTTAGTGACGACTTGCATGCCCAGCTTCCAGAATCGAAGGTACCGGTAGAAAAATATCTATTGCGAGGACGTCTCATACTTTTTTCACAACTGTTCTAAAAAAAAAAAATCATGAGTAGAACAAATCTGTTAAGAATATCTAAACGAAATGATAGAAAATTAAAAAGCCTCAACAGTTCTCAGTTTATGTTTCATTTCAGATCATAATATAAATAATATGTGTATGAGAAAAGACATATTAATATTAATAATATTTGTCTAGAAAACAGCACATGTTCAACAGCTTCTATTATCTAATCAAAAATTAACCTTTTCATCTCGGGAAACGCTTTTCGAAGTGTATAATGATGGCATGGAGCTATATGGCTTAGTAATAATTTCAAAATTTTCATCATCATGACCGCTCAATCTCCTACAGCATTGCTTAACTGGAACTCGAAAAAAATAAAGAGATTATAACGTGAATGATAAAATTTGTTCTCCCGTACCGAGAAGTTCTATAAATCTTCCATGTAAAATGTTAATAACTGTATATCAAACAAAATTTTTAATGCTGTTCCAATGAGGAAGAAAAATAATGAACTCAGTTTCCAAATTTTTAAAACTTATATTATTGAGCAGTAGGAAACATTCCATCATTTTGCAAGTGAAGAAGACAGAAATCAGCAACTACGGCACTGAAATGATAAATGAAGCGCAAAAGATAAAAAAGAAAGTCTAGCTTACATGCAGCAGAACTGCGGATATTTTGTGCCTTTCGTAACACGTTCTTTTCAAATTTATTCTTCGTAGATGGTATTTCGTGGTGTGTTATGCGAAATTTCCGAGGTTTATTTGCAGCTTTCTCAACTCCATGGCTCTTCCAATTGTTTGCCTTATTTTCATCTAAATATTTCTTTTTTTTTTTTTTTTTATAGTCATAGTGGTGCAGTAGCAGAGTAGATGATATATAGCATAACTTGATAATACTTTGTAGGAGTTGGAAGATTCCAAAGTAATTTTGAATAAAGTACTTGTCACTATTAATAGTGAAACAGTGTAATAGCATATGCAAGACCTTTATCTATATTCCAGTTTTGCAATTTCTACGCTACTTTTAATTGGATTTGACTTCTATACAAAATTCTGCTTTTCGACTTTTATAAAACCAAAAATTTCCACTTTAAGCATACATCTAAAGTGTTACAACTAACATTTTATATGCGATAACAAAGCATAAACTCATATGAAATATTTACCGTTTAAAATCCGTCGTCGAATATGTTCAAATAAACCATATCGATCCATCTTTTCAAATAAATTTCCTTTCCTATAATAATCAAATGTTTCATTTCAAAAATTCAATAAACTACTATTCAACAAAAATGCTACTACTCTAATCAATCATATGACTTTAATCATTTCAATCTTTGGTGATGTTTAAGGGCAAAATAAGAAACTTGTCAATCTCTGAAATATGCATAAATTTGAAATGTTGAAAGAATTCATAAATAAAAAAATTTGCCAAATAAAAAGAATCCACTTAAACGTTTTGCATGCATCTACTAAATAAGCTAAGCATGGGAATTCAGGAAAAAAAAAAAAAAGAAATGGACGTTGGTACAATTGCCACTCAGTTGTTTCGATGATACAGCGATGATGCATAAAAATATGACGATGAATAATGTCAACGAAAAAAAAAAAACAATTATTTAAGAAATCGATTAATCTCGGAATATTTGCTGATATAACAAAAAGACAAACAAACCATCGGAGATAATTTTTATGGCAATGCTATAATCAAAGTACAATTACAAATACTGATTATCATATTGTTGATAACTTGTTATCATTATTTCATCCTTTCGAATTTCACAGTTATCCTTTCATAATCATTGTTGGATTATTTTAATTCTAAAATAATATTTATTTATGGAAATTACATTATAGATTGTTTTATGATATGTAATAACAACGATTCTAATTAAATTATTCTCGTACTTTTTCTCACATTTTTGTCAAACATAATTCAACTCTTCGTTTTTTTCTCCCCTCAAATTTAAATTTTATAAAACTTTTTCTTAATTTTCAAAATCTAATTTTAATTTTCGCTTTTATAACAGCTGACTCTTTTGCTACAGAATATTTAACGGTAATTATCTCCTTTCTTCTTGCTCAGCTCTCCGCTTTTCATTTTATACCTTCTGCGGAGAAATTTATCGAGGTTTCTCAAAACCACTCCCGAGAATTCATACACAGTATACTCTTTTAGTGAGAAATACTACAGGCTACTATTTCGAATTCAATCGCAATATGTAAGCTATTTAAGTTATTGAAGAGTTACTAATTTGTCTACACGATGACCTTTAACCTATGACTTTTACCCATCTTAATCTCGACTTTAACAAACCGGATTGCTTCATCAGTTCCTATCCGGTAAATCACTTAAAATTAAGCCGCCCAATTAACAATTTTGACTTTGGCCAAATGAATCCGAACCGTTTCTGAGCGACTTCCTTTTTTTCAAATTAAAAATAGATACGGAAGTTGATGTTGTCATTTGTTGTACTTTTAAATTTTCTTCTAGTATATATCAGGAAATCTTATCATTCTTTGCATTTCTCAATAATTCATACTCTTTCCACATTTTACTCTCAATCACTTCCCTTACTCTCTCAATCTTAATTATTTCTACGATATTATCTTTGCATAATTTTGCATATTTTTGTCATAATTTGATTGCAACTAGCAGTTATTTACATATTAAATACTTACTTACTCTCATTCATTTTGAATTCCAATAATTTTGTTACTAATTGATTTGTGAAATTATTTGTTTAAATTGTTGTAAACATTACATTTAAATTGATTGTGGTACTTATTTTGTTCATACACAATTATTTCATATATTTTTGCTAGTATCATACAATATCAAGATAGGATATCATCCATTTACTCAGTAAGATCGATTTGATTATACTCTACCAAAAGTAACTTTTCACAAATGCTAAATTTTTATTCCTCTCAATTTACTCCTATCAATTACAAACGTTAATTACACTTCATTCTCGTCATTTACGCTGTCAACTACGCTTTATTCTCGTCAATTGCGCTTTATTTTCATCTTTTGATCCTTTTGAAAGATTGAAATTTTTTGCATTTCAAAGAATCATTTTGTGACTTTTTACATATCTTCCAATTGAATAAATGAATTATTGGATGAAATATTCAAATGATAAACTTGTATTGTTAAGAGATTTTCCTAACAAGAGATTTCTGATAATTTTTGATAACATATAGGATAGAATTTAGGAAGTACCATAGTAATATGTGATGATTTTTGATCACAGCATATGATAAAATTTGGAATATTTCCCTCGTAGTGATAATTTTTGATAATACATGGTGAAATATTGAAGATTTACCTAGTTATGTATGGTAATTTTTGATAATATGTGATAAGTTTTAGATAGAAATTATTATTATTATTATTATTTTTATTATTATTATTATTATTATTATTATTATTATTTAATTATTATTATTATTATTATATTATTATTATTATTATTATTATTATTATTATTATTATTATTATTATTATTATTATTATTATTATTATTATTATTATTATTATTATTATTATTATT